GGAGGGTTCCCGGAGAAGGGACTCTCCCGCAGATCTCAAAGGGCGGTCGGGCATATACGGACGTAAGCGCTCGTTCAGGTAGCCAGGACCCAAGCCGTTTAGGGCTTTGTAGGTCATAATCAACACCTTGGCAGGAACAGGTGCTTCCTTTGGGTGCTTTGGACAAGACAAAGGGGAAAGACGTCGGGGGGAGAAGGAAAGACATGCAGTATATTGCAGGATTATAGAGGGCCTGGTTGCTAGGTTCTGGCATGCTGGTCTAGGTATGAGCTTCACTTGCCACTCTTGGGCTGAAGACCCAGCATCGTGCCCGTCCATGAGGCTGGTCAGTAGAAAGAAACTCTTCTTAGTTCATGAGGTGGACAACTTCCAGACATCCCTCACTACAGTTCCCATCACCCATCTCTGCTCGCAAGAGCTGATGGGATCCAACCTCTGACCCTTGGAGCATCCCTAGTCAGTCACGAGCTGCAGGGATTCTGCACTTGGCACGTGCACAGGAGCAGAGCTCGCAAGGCAAAGCTCTGGGTGCAGTCCTTGACTCAGCGGACGATATTTTCCCTTGCAACGGCAGATCAACAGAGGTTTGCGGTAGGTGGGGGTGGCTTCTGTTTCCAGGCTTGCTTTTTAAAAGACTCAGTTTCGGGTGCAATCTTATGCAGGTTGAGAGAGAGGAAATTCCCACACTTTCCATCTCTTCTGGCTGGGTCATGCTGGGAATTAGAGGGTGCCCGAACAGGTCTGCGGCCTCGCTTTGCAGCAATGCCGCTGTACCTCATTTTCCCTTTATGCTCTACCAAACGAAGGCAGTCTCAGGCGGCTTCTTCCACGCCCTGGCCTGTCCTAGTCCTTCAGCAAACAGTTAGTCCAGGTTCCAGGCTTTTCTCTGCTTCCCAAGAAATGAATCTAAAACCCTGCACAGCCGGGGATGCTAGGACCTCAGGCATCCCACGCCTGGGTAATCCCCTGGCGGCAGCAAACGCAAAGGAGTCTGAAACTTCCTTAAAGAGAACTAGTTTGCTTTTGTAGCTCAGTCTCAGTAAAAATGGATACCTACCAATGCCCACACTTAAGGATTTGAATTTCTTTTCCAGCTGTACTCTGAGGCTTACATATTAAATCAGCCCTGTGGCCTGAAAACAGCAGCTGGGATTACCCTGGCATCCTTCCCACCCACTCTGTAGGTTCCCATGAGAGATCACTTTCTCCTCTCCTCTCCTCTCCTCTCCTCTCCTCTCCTCTCCTCTCCTCTTCTTTTTCCTTTTGTCTCACATCTTTTTTATTGCAATCCAGTGGATAGGGATTGTGTTGGTTTCAGCAGATTGTTGGTAAATGCTCCAGGAATGATTTTGGCTGAACGGTAGAGAAAAATAAGCTTTAAATAAAGGAAGGCCTGTCTTCCGTCACCGGACAAGACGTAGAAATGCAACAGATGCACCTTTCCTCGGAACGCGGAGAGGGAGAGCTTGGCTACATGAACCCGTGGCTTACAGGAGCAGCTCTGAAAAGCAGAGGCGTTCTTCTGGGGAGAAGAGAGTTACGAGTATCTCTTGCATTTCTGCAGCACCCAGGGCAAGACTGAAAACCATCAGTGCAGTTAAGATACAATACCACCCCAATTCTTTGCAAGCAGAATCTTATGTTTCTTCTTAGCGTAAGAAACCAAAAATAAAAGCTGTGCAGGCTGGGAGAGACTGGAGATCTTTGGAGTCATTTCTGTCTGAACAAGAGACCTCTTCTCCCCTGCAGAGGAAGGCAGGAAGCGCTCCAGTGGAGCCAAGCTCAGGGAACCAGGCTTCCATTTAGATGCCAGGAAGCACTTCCTGACAGTCAGGACGCCGAGGGTGAGGAATGGGCTTCCCCGGGAGGTCGTTGAGGCCCCATCGGTGCGGGTGTTCAAGGACAGGCTGGACGTGCACATGGAGGGCATGTCATGAGCGGAGCCGGCTGGAGCCGGGGGTCAGACTAGATGGCCCGGGAGGCCATCTAATCCTTGGATTGGACCCCAGTCCCACTAAGTTCAGCGGCATTTACGCCACGGTAAGAGGCTATAGGACTGTGGCTTTTTAGAGAAAAATGCATGGGAGAAGAAAAAGCTCTTCACCTGGAAATGAAAGGACAGTAATATAGCCTCTCCTGGAGGTGGGGGGAGAGAGGCAGCGATTCCACAGCTGTGGTGCCAGCACTGAAAAGGCCCTCTCTTTATTGTCTGCTTCCCTCACCCCAGCTGATTACCGGTTCGAGGGCAAGAGTCTCTCTGCAGGAGCAAGTGCATCTGAGCAATGAACAGTCAGTTGTGTCGGAGGCCAGGCCTGGTCAATCCAGTCCAAGAGATGCTGGGACCCACACCCCAGCAGCAGCCGCCCTGGTGAGGACTTCTCCCTGCTTTCGCTGTGGCCACGTAGGGATCTCGGCTCCCTCAGCGGTCAGGCTCATCTTTCGAAGACTTGCTGGGTCTCGGTGGCTGCAGGTGCGGGAGCTTCCAAGTGGCCACAGGAAGGACGGAACCTCTTCGCTGAGCAAAGATGCCGCAGGCGGCAGGTACACCATCTTGACGTTGGACGGGGTGAGTGGAATTTGACACTCTGGCTGCAAATTGATAAAAGGCAACAATAAAATTCAGTATTAACACATTAAAATATTGATTAAATAAAAAGGTCTTGACCTGGTGCTGAAAAACATATAATGATGGTGCCAGGTGGACCTCTCTGGGGAGTGCATTCCATAGTTGGGGTGCCACCACAGAGAAGGCCCTCCTCCGGGTACTCTGTCTCCTAACGTCTTTCACAGAGGGTTCCCGGAGGAGGGTTTCTGTTGCCGATCTCAGGGGGCGGGAGGGCGTTCCTTTAGGTATCCTGGTCCCAAGCCATTTAGGGCTTTATAGGTAATAATCAGCACCTTGAATTGAGCCTGGACTTCGATGGGAAACCAATGGAGCTGATAGAGGACTGGGGTTATATGAGAATATCGCCCAGGCCCCGACAGCATCCTGACAACTCTATTTTGAACCATCTGAAGCATCCGGACCGTCTTCAAGGGTAGCCCCACGTAAAGCGCATTACAGAAATCCATATTTATTTTTATTTATTTATTTTGGGATTTATATCCTGCCTTTTTCCTACAAAGGGCTCAAGGCAGCTTACATCACTCTCCTCCTCCATCTCATCCCCACAACAACAACCCTGTGAGGCAGGTTGGGCTGAGAGTCTGCGACTGGCTGATATTTCTCCCAGCAATCTCACTCCCAAACACCAACACTGGGGTCCTTTCCCACTGTTGCCACTCAGCCATTGATCTGGAAGGTGGATGTGTTTGCCCAGGGACCCTTTAACCTGGAGGGCGGGCAGGTGCCTTCAAACAGCTCCTCTACTTGGGGTTCCCCAGTTCAGGATTTCCCGCCCCAGCAAGTGCTGGCTTGGATGACCTTGCGGATCCCTCCAGCACTGGACTTCTTTGCAACAATCCCAGCTCCATCAGTCACCATCTGCATCCCCGTGGTCCACTGACTGTTCTCACAGCAAAACATTACCTGATATTAAGTGAGGGAGTTCTGCCCACCCCCCCCCACCCCCATTCACTGACCTCTCTGCCTGCCCATCACTGCACCAAGTCCAAATTTGAACTTTGCCTGTTGGCTTCTTTGCAGATAATCAGCTCTCCTTCCTCCCACCTTCTGCTAATCTAAGAGCTGGCAATTCCTGCAATCCGAGGGTGGTCTCACACCTTTTGTTCCCTGTGATGCCCCCCCCCCCCCCCCCGCCCCACCACAGTTATTTCCTCATCCCTCCATTTAAAGTTCCACCTCTTGCCTCTAGGGCATTAGGCAAGCAGCACCATCTCAAAGAGCCAGTAGGGAAAGATTAATGTGGGTCCTCTTGGAATCATGCCCACTTTTTAAAAATTGGTTGATAATGTACGTATTTTCCTATTGCCTATTCACCGCTTTCCCAAGGCAGCTTTGGAAAGGAACGCACGGCGTGATTCAGATGACAGAAGTATGCTAATTATTAATATAGCCCATCGTTGGTATTGTGGGCGTGGATGATTGGGCCAGTGCAGACACCTGAATGATGCCAAATACACTTTTTATTTTATTGTTACTGTCAATACATTAAGGAACAGGGTGTCAAAATTAATATTAAGAAAGCCAAGCACATTGTGATTAAGTTGGCTGAGACACACAGTTAAAAAGTCAAACTGAATACATGGAGCAAAGTTGATACAAGCAGTGCCTTGGAACTGGGTTTAAGTCAGCAGTGGACTCATAACAATGCCGTGAAAGTGAGAACAGAAATGGCTCAGAGGAAGTTTTTAAAGCTGGAAAATGGAATGCGTGACGAAAACTTCACGTGAGCCTTGGGATTGTGCATTACCTATTTCCCATTCTACTGGCCAGCCTGGAATCATGGATTTAAACACAGATCCCCAT